TCTTACCCCCCGGCGGGGGGGGGCTCAGTGATAGCCCCACAGCAAGACATGGAGAAGCAGGAAGAAAGGAAGCCGCAGCCTGGCTCAATCCAGGTGTCACCCTGTCAGGGCTCTCCGGCATGGCACAGCCGCCAGGCCCCGGAAGCGCCTGTCCGTCAGGATTCAGCCTTGGGGACGGATCTGCAGGAAGATGGAGCCCTTGTGGGGGATTCTGGCAACAGGGTAGCTCCCGAACTGACGTCTGGGGCGCCTGAGCCTGGGCTAGAGGAAATCAGAAACACGTCAGTCCTGGCACAATCCCAGGTGCTCTCTGGGTGGCCCCCAGGCCACGGGGCGGTGCTGGTGCAGCCCCTGGAGAGCAGGGGGCCTCGGGGTGCGATGGAGGGGCTCGGGCACTGCCAGGCAGCTGGATCCTCCCAGGTAAGGCACTTGGCTCTCCGGCGGCTAGCTGCCCCGCGCGCTCAGGTAGAGTCATGCGGGTGGTTCAGCTGGGGGCCTGGGAGCGCTTGAAAGATGAGACAGGCAGCAGCCAGCTCTCTGTGGCTGAGCCCTCACGACAGCCTCTGGGCAGCTTGTGGTCAGCCCTAAGGAGGGGCTGTGCCGTGCTTGCAGGGCTGAAGGTGAAGGCCACCGGTCTAGCGAGCTGCCCTTTTGCAGGGCTCTCCAATGGGCTGCACTTGGACCTGCGCTGGGGTGGCTTGTGGCGCGTGGACGGGAGCTGACTGGGCTGGCTCTCAGCGGAGGCAGAGGAGAGGACGGCTCTTTCGGTCTCTGCAGCCTCGCTGGCGGGGGTGGGAGCCCCTGGCTTTGAGAGCAGCGTGTGACGGGTTCCTTGGCGCCTCTTTGAGGAGACCCCTTCTCCGCCGTGCGGGGCTGCTGCTCCAGCCACGTGCCCAGGCTCAGCTCCTGGCGGACTCCACACAGCACCCCTCTGGGGACCGGGCCTGCAAGGTTCCTTCTTCCCAGGACAGGTCACGCTCCCACCCGCCGCGCACGGGACACGGCAATGGCCCAGCCAGGCTCTTGCCAAAGGACGTGTGGAGTCCGGGCTCGTTCTACTTGGGCACGTCTAGACGACAGCCAGCTCTGTCGCCATGAGAGCGCAGCCGCAAGGCCTGGCGTGGGTGCCATAGCGCCGTCCGGCCAGGAGCTCTGGCGACAGTCGTTATTCCTCGCAGAATGAGGTTTGCCGCCGTCGACACAACTGCCGCCTTCTGTCGATGTTCTGTCGACGCAACTCGGCGGCAGTGCAGGCGCAGGTCTAGTTTTGTCGACAAAGCCCTGTCGTCTAGACCCACCCTCAGTGCAAAGGGGGTGGGCGTTAGTCAGGACACGTCTCCCCTGTATTCCTGGAACACGGCCGGGGGCGGCTCAGTAAGGAAATGGCCGGTGAAGAGTCATGACGTGGGAAGGGATGTGCCTTTAGTTGCAACACTGTCAAATCTCAGTGTTCTTGGATGCCAGTTCACTGTCTGGGGGTCACCCCCCCCTTGACTCAGGGCTGAGAGAGCTCCCAGCCCACAGCTCCAGGTCTCAGCTGGAGTCTTGTGTCCAGTGTGGGCCCCACATTTCAGGAGAGCTGTGGAGAAGCTGGAGAGGGACCAGCGAAGAGCAACACGAATGGTGACAGGCCTAGAAGACAGGAGCTAGGAGGGAGGCTGAAGGAACTGGGCTTGTTTAGTCTGGAAAAGCGAGGACTGAGAGGGGACATGGCAGCGGTTTTCGAGTACCTAAAAGGGTGTTTCTCCTTGGCCCCTGAGGACAGGACACGCAGCAAGGGGCTTACGCTGCAGCAAGGGAGGGTTGGGTTGGACGGTAGGAAAAGCTTCCTAGCAGGGTGGTCAAACACGGGGAGAAATTGCCCAGGGGGGTTGTGGAATCCCCGTCTCTGGAGGGTTTTAAGAGCAGGTTGGGCAGATGCCTGGCAGGGATGCTCAGCTGGTGCTGGGTGCGGCTGTGAGGGCGGGGACGGGACTGACGGCCTGTGGGGGCCCTGCCTGGTCCAGGTGCTGGGAATGCTCAGAAGGGAGGGGGAGGGGGTTTGGAAGATGCCTCCAGAAGAATCCCAGAATCCCCTGCTCTGGGGCTGGCCCTTTTGAA